GCGAGGGCAGCCCCAGGAGCGAGGGCAGCCCCAGGAGCGAGGGCAGCTCCAGGAGCGAGGGCAGCTCCAGGAGCGAGGGCAGCCCCAGGAGCGAGGACTGCCCCAGGAGCAAGGACTGCCCCAGGAGCGAGGGCAGCCCCAGGAGCAAGAACTGCCCCAGGAGCGAGGGCAGCCCCAGGAGCAAGAACTGCCCCAGGAGCGAGGGCAGCCCCAGGAACAAGGGCAGCAGCTGTGGGGCCAACAGCAGCCTGGCCAAAGACGGTGGCTGAAGGCGTTGGCCCGGCAAGGGGCATCTGGAACTGCGTGGAAGCCGCCAGGCCCATCTGCTGCTGGTTGTTGTAGGAGGCAGTAGAAGTTGTAGTAGCAAAGTTCGGGTTCTGTGCCTCAGGCGAGAAGCCACCCAGCTCCTGGTTGAAGGTATTGTTGGCGCAGTCGTTGAGCGGGTCTTTACCAGCGTCGTCTTCGGAGGGTGGAGTAGGAGTAGGGGAGGAGGTCTTGCAGCACAACATCCTGAGCAACGCCTGTTGGTTGAGCAGCAGAGGTGCCTGGAGGGCATGGCTGTTGCCCGACAGGAAGCCCGAAGGGCTGTCACTCTGCAGTCTGAGCTGCTGCTCCTCGTTAACGCCCAAATGTTGCTCATTGGAGCCATTGAAGGTGTTCAGCTCCTCGGAGGTGCTCCCGGAAGGCACAGGTTGCTGCTCAGGCTGGTTGTGAATAAAGTGGCAGCGGGTGCCATAGGGGCAGAAGCCAACACTATGGAAGGTGCGGCAAGGCTCCGTCTTGTACTTGGGGTGCCTTGACAGGGTACGCAGTTCGCGGTGGCCATGCGCGAACTGGCACTTGTGGCCGTACCTGCAAACGCCGCTTTCCTCAAAGGGCCGACACAGTTCAGTCTTGTAGCGCTCAGAAGTGGCCTGGGAGCTGCTCGCCTTCTGCTGCTTAGGCTTCTGCTGGAGGCTATGTTCGCCATTCCCTGGGTGGACCTGCGGCACCGCGTTAGCCCCTGAGGGCTCCTGGGGAGCTTCACAGGACATCGCACCAGTTGCCCCCAACTGACCATTAATGCAGCTGTTCGCTTCTCTCTCAAAACTGAACGACCAGTCCTCGTTGCGGCTGAAAGCGCTGGGAGCCTGGTGGTCGAGCTCTTGGGGGTTTTCGGAAGATGGTGGCGGAGCGGTGCTGGGAGCCTGGTGGCCGAGCTCTTGGGGGTTTTCGGAAGAAGGTGGCGGAGCGGTGCCAGGCATTGAGCTGGAGTTGGAAGGATCAGCTTCATTAGTGTTGAGCGGACGGTTCAAGTTGTTGTTGGCCATAGTTGTCTCAGTCTTGTCTACTGTCTCTATTTTAGAAAGTCCGTAGACGTATGGACATTGTCCTGTGTCCTGCTCCGTTCTGAACTATAAGTAAGGAGGACCCGGAGAAACCTTCGAGGGAGGCAGAGCCAGCGAGCTCAAAACACGAGGCAAAAAGGGCAAGTAGGAGGAGCTGGGAGGAGCCAAAAGTTTGCGTCCCTGCCCACCGGGAGGGCGGGGGGGGGGGGGCGGGGGGGGGGTAAGGGGGAAAGCAGCATAAGGCAGACTGGAAGATGCAGGTACGCCACCAAGTGGAGGATGAAGAGTAGTAGCAAAGATCTTAGCGCCTCGCTCATGTGCTTGCATTCTGTTGAGCGATATATGCCCCCTAGAGGCATGTGAGCCTCTGGAACTAAGAAGTAAGCAAAAGCTGCTTTTCAGGACCTCCTGCTGGGAGAGGACTCTACTCTAACTTATCAGTGGCAAGATTTTTACGTTTGTTCTTCTAATATTTGAGTAAAGCAATAAAAGATAATCATTAGACTCCACATAATCCCACAACTCCCATGTTCTTGTAAAGAGTAGTCCGGTCAATCTCCCTACACACACGCCTCCCCATTCCTCCTCCCATTCCTCCTCCACAAGTCCCCCCCCCCCTCCGCAAAACCTAGGGTTCAGCTGGTACAGGCTTGCTGACAAACCGAAGCCTGGAATCCACTCCCTGGAGAGGACCGATTTCCTCCAGTTCTTTTGTCCCCCCCCCTTTTTGTTGGTTTTTCGAGACAGGGTTTCTCTGTGTAGCCCTGGCTGTCCTGGAACTCACTCTGTAGACCAGGCTGGCCTCGAACTCAGAAATCTGCCTGCCTCTGCCTCCCAAGTGCTGGGATTAAAGCCATGCGCCATCACTGCCTGGAGTTTTCCCTATTTTTAATTGGTTATTTTATTGATTTACATTTCAAATGTTATCCCCCTTCCCAGATTCTCCTCCACAAACCCTCTATCCCCTCCCTTCTCCCCCTACCTCTACGAGGGTGCCCCGGACCTGCCCACTCACTTCCTCCAGTTCTTTGACTTTCTTGTGTGTGCCATGACATGTGTACATGATCCACTTCCCTACACCCCAACACATAAATGTAATTTAAAAATAGACAGTTTTATTGTATGCATTCAAGGTGGAATTACAGTCATCAGGATGCTTCAGTGGATAAGGGGGTTTGCCAGTGAATCTGACAACCTCTCCACAGTGGAAATTGAGACCTGATTTTACTGTGCCCTTGTGCTCAAATAGAAACACAAAGAGAAAAAAATGAATAAATTAAACCATTAGGGGGTTATATTTTTCAACATGGTAGAATTAGTACTAGTGAAATGGCTGAGGGGGTGTAAAAAGACACTTTGCACCAAACCTGGTAGACTGAGCTGGAGTTCCTAAATCCATGATTTAGAAGTAGAGAAGCAATTCTTATAAGTTCTCTTTTTGGCTGCCAGGTCTGTGCAGTGGTGAGTGAAATGTGCCTCCCCCAAATAAATAAAATAAAATATAATTAAAGCCCATTTTCTGCTGCACACATCCAAGGTGGTAGAATTAGGGTTATCAAGATGGCTCAGCGTGTATAGGTGCTTACTGCCATGCCTAAAGACTTTAGTTTGATCCCCCATATGCAAATAGTAGGAAAAAATCAGTCTCTGCAAGTTGTTCTCTAACATCCACACATGTGTACTGTGGCATGCATGTGCACACACACATTAAATGAATGAATGAATGAATAAATGAATAAATAAATAAATAAATAAATTCAAATTTTAGGCCATTTTCTGTTGTATGCATTAAAGATGTCAAAATCAGAGCTGGCTCAGCAAGTCAAAGTTCTCCTTTCCCTTGTTTCCTTGCTTGCCAACTGGAGTTCAAGGCCTGAATCCACAACTGGAGAAAGGGAAAACAATTTCACTAAGTTATTTTTACATACATACACACACACACACATACACACACACACACACACACACACATACACACATACACACACATACACACACACACATACATACACACACTAAACAAGCGAAGAAACTGTAATAATAAAGGCCAGGTTTTGGCTATTGCATTCACTGTGGTGGAATTAGGGCTGACTATATGATTCAGTGGGTACTTGCTACCAACCAATTTGAGTTTGAGCCCAGGGATCCATATAGTAGGAGGGAACCGACTTTGGTGTTTGGATCTCAAACAGAGCATATGTATTTATGCTCAGAAAAAAAAAATTCTGCAGCAAACTGAGTACTGAAATAGTATAGCTATTGGATGTTTTATGATAAAGATTTTCCTGGGGAGACACCACACAGTTGACTTGTCTCCTAACCTCAGACAGGGAGCCCATGACTAAAGTGGGGATACCACCATTGTCCAACACATACTTCTATTCACTTCAGAAAGAACCCACGACAGACTATAGTATAGATGCCACCGAAGTCCAACTTGGTGGACCAATGAGTTTTATCGTGGCTACTTACAGGAATACGGGTGAGGGGTTACTTACAGGAGCAGAACTGACTCAAAGGCAGCTTCATCACCAAAGCCCACCCCAGCAAAGCCTCACAAAGCTGGGGACCTGGAGCACACTGCACAGCCTGCAGGCAGCTCAACAGGCTGGAGTATCCTTTCCAAGTGCATCAGATGGGATAAACCTCTTCCAGGCAAGGCAGCTCCAGCTCTGCTGCTTTCTGCTTCTTCCAGGCAGGTCGTCTCTTTCCACCATGACTCTCCTTTGGCAGCCCAGCTTTATGCATCTGAGAGGGGCTCTCAGCTTTTATTCCTTACTGGGGCAGGGAGGAGCCTAGTGAATGTTGTCAGTTTGGGGGACTCCTTGAAGCTTTTTGAGTTGTTTACCTTCCTGCTTAAGGAGCTTCCTGAAGCTCTTTTGACTTGTTTATCTCCCTGCTTATGGAGCTTCCTGCAGGGTGGAATGTTTCAATCCTCTGAGGAAACTGTTACACAACAGTATATCTAGGGCTTTGGGGGTTATATTAGTAATAATTTCAACTGTGCCTTACTGTACAGTTAGTAATAATTTTATATATCACAATATAATATTATAATAATAATCATTTCAACTGACAGGGCTGGAACAATGTCAATGCAGGTATCAGGTACAGAGCAGCATACGTATTTATGCTTCGACTGTGCCTTGAGGTATGGTAGCCTCAGGACCCATCCTCTGTCCATGTAGCTGGACGATAATAATGGATTTTACACTCAGGTGGCCATTCATTACATTTCTAGGGCACACCATTTACTTTGAGACTCCCAGTACTTAAGATTTCCAAATGGTCCCCTCTGGTAAGTGGGAACAGGAAGAAAGCTGTATGGATAGACCTCAACACACACAATCCTGATGAATTGGGAGGAAGTATAATCTGGGCCGTGCCCCCACATATCCAGTATAGTCCACTCAGGGCATGGTACCTGATATCTGCATTGACATTGTTCCAGGCCTGTCAGAGATAAGAGAAAGTGGACAAGGGATACATGTTTCGTTCAAAGTGGTCTGGGGATCCACACCATTGGATTTCCTAAGTGACTCCATTATAGAATCTTTGACCCAGGCTTGTGGGGCTTCCAACAGAAGTGTTAAATCACTCTTCCACTAGGCAAGACAGTTTTCCCCAATAACTGAAGTTTTATTTTGGTTTTGGTTTTGGACAGAGTCTTATTATGTAGCTCTGGATGACCTAGAACTCACTGTGTAGACCAGGCTGGCCTCAAACTCACAGAGGTCTCTGCCTCTGGGATGCTAGGTTTAAAGGCCTGTGCTCCTACCATATCCAGCTCCAATAATTGAATTTTTAGGGAGTCAAACCTCCGCAGGACTGGGGCACCTTGTCTCATACCAAGGATTGCAGGAATCCAGTTCCTTTTGTCTCTCAAGGCCACTGATCTTCCATATTAGTTTCTCCACATACATGGCCAAAATAGACCCTTAGCTTCTGGGCTATAGTGTCTACAAGGACCAAAGACAGATTTCTTGCTATGGCAAGGATGAGAAGTGGGCTACATTTTATTTCCTCATAAAAAGAATGGAAGGCCTGGATGTGGCCTTTTGCATGACAGAAACTCTTCTTGAAATATAACACACAGTCCCTGTCTGTGTTCATGCCCATTCCAATCTGCCAGCTAGTTTTCTGTCGGGGGTTTCTTAAGTTGGGGATACTGAAATGCAAAGGTTGTCAGATCCTTAGCTAACAGTCTGATGCAGCAGGCTCCTTTTGAAGGAACACCATTTTGCACTTTTCCTGCCAGGTGCCTCCTAAGATATGCCCCCAGTAGGAACAGTAAAAATGGGCTTTAGGGGTGCATCTGGCCTGCGCTGAAGCATGTTCACACATGTAGTTATCATTTGGCCTAGCTTCCCACTCCCAGTGCAGTCCTTCAATGAAGTTGATCAGCTGTAAACTATGGTTGCCCACACATATAAAAGTATTGGCACTGGTTGTCCTAGGTTAGAGAGTAGTATCTTTTGGCTCATTTGTCCTTCGTCCTAGGAGATGGCTCTGGACTTCTAATCATTCCTCTGTTGTGGAGCACTGTGTATCAAAACATAGTGTCTCCCATGTTGGCAGGTGGCATAGGTGATTTTGTTATACTTGAAAAGTGGATGTGGTAAATAAAGTAGGGTCCAAGTAACTCCTTGGCCCAACTGAGTCAGACAAATACAGTAGATAACAGAGTAAGCAAGCTGGGCCCGCAAAGCAGGGCCAGATCAGTAATAGCAAGTAGTACCGTATGTACCCTGTCCATAGAAAATAAAGAAATGCTAATAGAAACTTTCACAACAGGTCCAGTTAGCTGCCTATTTACTCCTGATAGGGCACCAGTGACAGAAATAGTTCTACCTAAGTATTCCCTTGTAAACCAGTGAGTTTTGGAGGTTCTTTACAGGAACATGACTCACTCCAAATGCAGCTGCATCACAGAGAAGCCACCCCAGCATGAGTGCTAACTCACAGGACCCTTGTCCCCAGGA